AAAAAGATATATATATATATATTGGAGAAATAATAATTAAATCAGAAATGGTGGCAAATTCTTATATTTTGGTTGGTATAAAAATCGGTATTATTTGCCTCAGGGCCCTCTTTTTCCATTTTCAGAGCATGTAAATTTCACTTTGATTTCTCTGACCACGCATGTGTAACGTCTCCAAGAGATCGTAATTAAACCTAACCTTACATAATCTCTGAAAATTTGCAATTCAATTTCTTGGATATATTTAAGGAAAACTACTTATGACATGCCAAAATTCAAATCAAAACGAAGTACTACGCTTTTAGTGCTTCATAAAATTATTTATATTAAACTTCTATACAAACTAAAAATTATTTTTCGTATTTTCTGTTGTTTTATTCCAATAACTAAATTAATCATGTGACAAAATTTTAATAAAAATTAATGCAAGCAATATTTTTAAAAATTGTTAGTTGGCGACCCCCCATCTGCTTTTCAGGAATATTCTCGAACATGCGCCCGCACGCACATCCAGTGAGCTCTCAAAATGTCCGATAAAACAAAGAATTATTAAATGGATGTTTTTAAAACATCTTATTTCACATTTTTTCCCCTCTATTATTTGGCGAAATGTAGAAACATGAATTATTTTTTTTGTGGGGATGGGGAGGAGAACATATGAATGAAAAATAATTTCAAATATAGGATAACTACGTTTGTGACATACATATAGGATAACTACATTTGTGACATACATTTTTATTCATTTTTAACGTAGATTCAAAACAAAGCATCTAATAGATAATCACTGGTTTCTAGCACTGATGCAGAAAGCGCATTGTAATTAATTTCAACCCACCCAGTGACCAAGTGGTTAAGACGGTTGAATGCTGAGAATTCGTTCCGGGTTCGAGATAAGGCAAACGGGCTGACTGCAAGCCTGGTTTTTCGGTTCTTCCCATGCGTAATGTGAATACTTCCCCACTTCCTTTAGAAAGTCCTCCACGAAAGCATCCTTTTCCTTTAAACTAGCCTACGCATTAAGTTCAGATGGATGAAACTATGAAGAAACCTCGCGCGTTTATCCCACATTTTGTAAATTTAAGCATCAAATTCAAATGAACAAGAGTAGGATTTTGAAGATATATAAAACAATATAAGCATATATTACTTCAAACAGAATTAGATATCCTGAAATATCCTTGCTAGGCCAATGACGAACTTGTCGGCATTTCAATTTGTTGATGCAAAATGCTTTTTAAATTTAGTCCATCTGGTTCTAAAAGCCTGAAGAAACAAAAACACAAACTAAAATCCAAAAGAAAATACATGGTGCCAATCTGGCCTATTCTGACTCCACATCTGAAGATAATGGTCACGTGAATAATGAGCATGTTTTGATTGTCAAAGGCGTGGTTATATGCTTGATTATTAATTTCATAAATTCTTTAATCGCATTATTTTGGTCTTATCCATGCAGTTTAATTAAAGTTTGTAACAATATCAATAAGAATTCTTTAGATTTTTCCAGGGAAAAAGACACTAGTTTAAAATGTTCGAGCTTATGTTTTAAACAGCACGTAACAAATTTTAACTGTGAGATAACATACATCTAAAAGATATGAAAATCCTTATAGCGAAAAAGAAACGGTGCTGAGTACAGCAGAATTCTAATTATCCGAATCAATTGGGCCCGAACCCCATCCTGATAATCAAAAATTCGGATAATTGGATTTCCGAAAGAAGAATCTACGTACGTTTAATTACTGCCGTACTGTATGTTGAAAAATAGGAGAAAAATTATTTTGAAAGAAAAAGAGGTTTAAATTAATTAAAATGAAAAAGCAACACTTACGTACATGTTACATAGCGTACTGTATAACACTTACAAGCGCTGAAAGTCATTGCTTGCTGAACATCTCGGTCCAAGAAAGCTGTCTGACGGACACCGTGCCTGCACTTAACATTTCTCAGCCAGCCGTTATTTGCTTTTAAAAAGGATGAACAACCAAGCTTCTGGGCTAAGATCATTGCTTTTTCATAAGGAATCGGACCCGAAACTGGATCTCCCTTATAACGTTGCTACAAAAACCACCTGAAAACGACATCTTCTAAATTTTTGTTTGTTGCTGCATTGATTCCCTTGAAGAACTTCCATCTTCGTTTTCAAGCAGTGACACGAAGTTTAAAAGTGTAGGTTGCTGGTTTTAATGTCTGAAATCGTTGAATATCCAACTCTACCTTTCTGTCTTAATTTTTTTCTTAAGCTCTGAAAGCGATTCGGATAATCAGCGACTCGGAGATTCGGATAAATGGAGTTTTACAATATTCCGAATGTTTTGGCTCAGATCTCTGTTAATAGTCCCCCCCCCCCGATTAACAGCCTTCATTTTGTGCGCTTGCAGCGACCATTGAGAATTTATAAGATTTTTTCATAGGATTTTGTAATTTACTTGACCGGATTTGTCTTCATCTGTTTTAGGCAGCCAAGTCGCGCATGCATTTGACAATGGGGAGTTGACAGTGTTTCATTGACGGCCATCAGCATTGGATAGCTGAAGCTCTATCGAATGTTGATCATTGGCAGTTAAGTCGTAAATTATAAAGAAAGGAAAACACTGGGAAGCAAGAAATAGAGGGGACTGCGTCATCCCAATAATGTTCGCGCTGCGCCTGCAACTAGCCTCGCAGAAGGAAGGATAATAGGCGCGTAGATAGATTCATTATTTTGGGAATCGCAGTACGTTTCCGCCTTAATTTTTTCTTAAATTCTGAAAACGATTCGGATAACCAACGATTCAGGTAGTCGGAGTTTGGATAACAGGAGTTGTACTGTAATTAACGTTTTGTAGGATGTTAAGCAAAGCAAAATTTCATGGAATCTTCCCCCCCCCCTTCAAATGGGAAATATCAGAGTAAAGAGTGGTTGACAGAACCAAGATTCGGTACCTCTTCGGTAACGACTCGCTCTTGCAAAAGTTCACCGAGGAATGTTGCAGATATTTAGAAAAAGAAACCCTATCATTTACAATCACACTATGCTGGGTCGTCAATTTGAAACGTGGTAGCCGATAGCATTTTAGGTGGACTATGGAGGATATCCAGTGAAGGCAACAACGTCTAAGTTATCAAGGCTGTGCTGGAATGATTAGGGACGATCGTCAAATGACTAGAAGCAGCGTCCGAATGTTTGCAGGTCTCGACCAAACGTGTGTTACACATCACCTAACCAGAACTGTCCAGGAACAACGTTACCCCATGCTGAAAAAGAAGGGTTTATTTTGGTTGGTTTTGTGATGAAAAGTTCCATCTTCAATGAAGAGTATCATGCCAGTGTGGTAAACAGATTGAGACATGGTATGGAGGAGAAGAAGCCAGAGATCCCCTCCTCGCTGTACCATCAAATGGTACCGACTGTGGATTCTCCATCCGCCTTATTTCCCTAATCTAGCTCCGTCATATTTCTCCGCTGTGAAGAATTTACTTGATAGGTCATCACTTCGACACAGATGATGCTGTCATTTGTTGGAGTGAGACTTAGATCAAATCATTCTCTTCGAAGCACAGAGTGGATAAGTGCGTTGATGCAGAAGTGACTACGTACAAAAAAGGCAGATAAGATACTGCACTACTTTCACTGAGGTTGAAAACCTCCGTCGTAAAAAAAGTGATATTTATTTTTTTTTAAATGATTTAAATGAAAAATAGTAAATTATCTCCCACAATTTGCATCAGTATTTTCCAAAAGAATAAAAGTCTACGAAGTTTTGCCCTGGGATTCCAATTTCATAAATTGGGTCCTGCGTGGCGGAAATCAATTTACGGTGTATTATTATTCAGTATACTCTAAATTAGTCCTCACAGTGAATAATATTCAAGTACTTACTTATCACTGCAACCACCTTACTAGAAGCCGCCAAATTTTTAGAATGTGCCAAATTCTTGCAACCATGCGCATAACCATTCTTTAGACAATGAGTCTGATAACAAACATTCAGTCAAGTAACGGCACTATTTTCGTACGCACTTTATTATATTCCAAGATCTGACGGTTGTTATAGATAAATCGTGATATTTTTCAATATAAAAACGAAATAAGAATTTGAAAGAGAATAACGATGAGGTGTGTTTGTTAAATAGTCGGTCGCGATATGGAGTTTGTGGAATTCTCCGATTTTCTTCCAAGCGGAAACAAAATAGATGTGGTTTGGTTTGGTTTATTGAGATTACGGCAAAGCACACTAGGGCTATTTGCCTAAGAGGAGGGATGCCTTCGCGGAGGACTTTCTAAGGGAAACTGGCTCGTATACACGTTACACATGGGGAAAACCACGAAAACGCCCATGCAGCCAGCCCGTTCGCGGGATTCGAACCTCGGACCGAACTACCAGTGTTCAGCGACTTTACCACTCGGCTGCTGGTGGGCCCAAAATAGATGTGAACGTGGGGAGAAAACACCATAAAAAATTACAGAAGGGATTTACATAAAATATAATTGCTTTACATTTTAATCATCACCTAAATTTTAATTATTAAATAAGTATTATATGTTATTAATTATTAAATAAGTTAGTTTTATTTCAATATGTCGATAATGTTTGTCCCACTTAAGATAAATATCATATTTTGGCAATTTTACTTTTCAACGTCAGGAAAAGCGCCATCTGGCACTCGATAAGTGATCTTTACGTTTTCATCTCTAAACGTAGCCAAACTGCTCCAACATGGTTGCGATAAGATTTAATACCCTGTGGTATATTAATTAAAGCGGTAGGTTAATACTATATATCAACGGATACTGAAAAATTAACCCCCAGGACTGTAGCATTCAAATAAACGGACTTCATCAAGGCAGTGTTTTAAAAAAAATGAAAGTACTTCTGATGTGTGAAAATGCTTATTTCTATGAAATCAATATTTCTATCAAACTATGAATATCTATTTGTTTTATTTTATAAATTAATTTAGTATAATACGGCATATAATCGAAACATAAGCAATTTGTTTGTTTCCTTTTTCAGACGCAGGTCACTTCATTTTGACCAGCTCACTATCCAGAGAGTTTAGTAAGCCTTTTCAGGGATGACTTAGCGGCGCACAAGGAATTTGTGGGAAAGGTTCCATCACTTGTAAATAACTTGTTTGAATAAAATGTATTTCCACTTTTACTCATGATTCCTCTGACCATAATCACAATTACTTTCTATTGAATAAAGTCCAATAAAGTTTTGCTAGTCCAAAAGTCACAGTTATTTCTCCGTATAATAAAAACGAACAAATTTTCTGCATGAAACTACACAGGTGTTCAGTTATTCTGATAAACTGCAATTACACAAAATTAACTTATTCATTTATTAACATTAATTAACTTAATATAAACTTATTAATAATATTATTAATAATTATACTCACTTTGTTATTCAAGTTAGCTACAAAACAAATTATTATGTATAGAGAGACTGGTTGTTCCAGCCGTGTCATTCACTAACAGAAATTGCTGCAACATACGTGAAGAACAAATCCAGGCAACCTTCAATAATTGAACAGGAGCTAATGCATCACTACTTTTATCACATAGATGCTGATAAATATCAGGAGCTTCGAATTTAGGGCTCAGTTGATACCCAAAAACCTGTGTGAGTATTGGTCATTTGTGATTATCAGCAGGCTTTCTAACAAAACCAAGTGACTATAAAATTCTCGAATATATTGCAGGTCTTTTTTTTTTTTTTTTTTTTTTTTTTTTTTGTATGTTTAGATTATTACTGCAAAATATCTCCCTAAGTACGCAAGTAAATTAAATGTCCTTATGGAGGGTTTCCTGAATAAAGCTGGATAAATATCTCCATTCATTGAGACAAAAGTGACTTTTCTCATACCTAATGATTGACTTCATACTGTGTAATGTGTGACAAATGCACCAGTACTACGCACAAAACACTATGTAACATGAAGTGAATTCATAAAATGTGTTCATGAACTATGAACTGTACTATGAACAAGTAATAAAAAATGAAGTCAATTTATACATAGATCAACAAAGAAAAAATTTTAAATTGAAAATTTTAAAAATTTTTATTATGTGTAAAACTGTATTAACATCAGGTGTCATCCTTTACAAGTTAAAAAAATGTATTTGAACTTGAGTGGATGAGTAAAAAGTATTTTATTAACAATTGAAAATTTGAACAAGATATAGGGAGAGTGTGAGCTAACAGTAGGAATTTAATGAATTTATAAACTGTGCACCGTATAACAGGAAAACAAACAACGAGCCACGTACTATAATCCCCTCCACCAATAAAGCTCCAAACAGAAGCACAAAAGAAATATGTATATACACCTGTATATAACTTACTGTATTTATTCACACAACTGCAATATACCCATGTAAAGTATACCTTATGTCAATTCTGTCGGTAATACAAATTAGGCACTATTAATATGCAACTATAAGAACGCTGCAATGTAAAGAAATGCCCGACCATAGTGTTAATGTGCCCAGTGAGGGTGTTCTTCTATAGAGGGTTAGTGCAGTGGGGGTGATACCACTTTTGCCCAAGGCAATGTTTTGGTGCTCCCCTGCAGTTGTTTCTGTCTGTCTGTGGAAAACTGGAACACAGGAAACCATGAAAGCTCGTCCAACTAGACCATTCATTAGGTCACAAACTGCGCCAAACTACTAATGTCAAGCGGTCCTTTCAGCCATTGATAATCCATATTTTTATTTGAAATGGAAACAAATACTTAAACTCAGTTTTATATATAATTCCATCCTATGAATATTATTTCCGAGCTAGTTAACGATTTATCTAACGATAGGATACAATACAGATATAAGACTCCTTAGTGGCCGAGCGATAAAGTCAAACACTCGACCAAGTTTCGACCAAAGTTGAAATCCCGGCGAATGGGCTGGCTACATGGAATTTTCGTAGTATGCCCCACTCCAATGTTTAATGTCGATACGAGTCAGTTTCCCTTAGAAGGTACTCCACGAAGGCATCTCTGTCCATAGGCATCCTTGAGTTTAAGTATCTTAACTAGCCTAATCATATACATAAATTAATTTGACAGTTCAAGAATAAAACTGCAATAACTGATAAAACTATAGAATGATAAAGAGCTAAAAATATAACAAAAACGTCAGAATTCGGTTGGAGGACTACGTTATTCAAAATTGGATGACTCTAGGAACCGCTGCTTTTTCACAGTGCGAGAAATATACATACATTCATGCAGATTCTTAGTTATTTAATTTCTTTAAACATAATACAGGGCGATAACTTTTGGCGGCAATAAACTGAAAAGTGATTCATCACTTTTAATGATTCAACGCAAAATGTCATTTCGAGACTAATAACGACTTTTGGGTTGAAGGCCCTTTGGGTTAATAATAAAGAACCTTTTTTAATAATACTTAAGGTGAATCAAGTGATTGACTCCTGATTTAACATACTTTCAACAACTGCAGAACTCTCAATGCACATCTGACAATCCTAAAACAAGCTTGGAAAACCGTAACAAATGCAAATGAAATCAACGAAAACCTGTTAAAATAAACCATAAAACTGAATATTATGTCTGAGGGAAACGTAATTCACCTTCAAAAACCAAATCGTTGTAATAAAAAATTACAGTCTATAACATATATTCAAACTATCTCCCTAACACATCTTACAAAACGAGAGCTACAAAATATTAATACAAAAAGTATTTTAAAAAATGCAAAAGGTTTCAGATTTTTAATTACACACAATCGAACGTTTTTTAACATTTTGTTTGTTACCTTTATTTAATAAATATAATGTTCTTTGCACTCAAACCATAAAATTCAGCTCAACAGCTATATCGCAAAATAACTTTAAAATGAGCCTATATTTAGAATTTCCAATACACAGTATTGCACGCTCGAGATAATTTTTTTTTTCGTACAGTGCTGCCATCGCTCGCTTTGAAATCATTTAGTTTGTTAATAAAAATTTCATTGAAGTGTTACAAAACATAAAACTGACAATAAAATAAATTTCGAATTCAAATTAGGGCTTTCACATGCCATATATTCTACGGAAGATTACGTTATTCAAGTTTTGATGGCTTCCAGGTACCGTCATTTTATCACAATGCGAGAAACTATGTACATTCAAGCAAATTCTTCATTATTTAATTTCTTTAAATATAATACAGGGCGATAATATTAGGTGGCAACAATTTGAAAAGTGAATCAATGTTTATCGTGAATCGACTCAAAATACCAAAATGAAATTAATAGTCCTTCTGGGCAAATTGCCCTTTTGGACTTTCTTTCTTTCCACCGACAGCTAAGCAGCTGTTCCATTGCGGCAAGTTAGCATATCGGTCAGATAGCCCCGCGGACAGAAATAAATTGATCAACATAACACACTTATATATACATATTGTGCTCAAGACGAGTGCTGGGGGCAGTGCAAACAAATACTGAGACGATAGTGAAGTGATGGAAAAAGGGTGCATTGCGTGTGAGAAGAACAATTTCAGTTATATAATTACAGAATTATGGATAGGTGGTTACAAAAGGCATTCATAACATGAACAATACATGAATGCATAACAATACAGGCATGCATAACATGAACATTACAATATATGAGCAATGCACCTTTGGACTAAAAATTTCTACGATACAGAATGACAGGTCTACTTTTCACAGTCTGAATGCATGTGGAAAAAATATATGTAAACCTTCTACTCATACCAGTGTTTTAAATTTTTTATACCATGTTGTATATTGAAAATTTTTTAAAAATTACCAAGAAAATTTATGAAAAATTTTCTTACGACTCAAATATACACAATTAATTTTTCAGTATTGGCCAATTGTATAATATATTTCGTATATATCGCTATTTGAAAAATGTCTAATTTCTAGTAGTTGATGAAAAATAAAATATAAAGGCTAATATTATTACAATATACAACCAACCAGTTCAACAAATAAATGCTTTCAGTTTTATTTTAAATCTTGTCTTACTGTAAAAAACAATATGATACTGACACCACATAACTTCTTTGTATGGACTTTTAAATTATGCATATGTTTTGCTGCATTCGATTTAAATTTATTTCCTCGAATTTTTCCACCTGAATTACACGATCCTTAGGTACAAGTTGAAAATGACATCAAAAGTTGAAATTTTGATTTTTCATAATGATTATAAAACTTTCTCAAGAAACCGGGAGATCACATAAAAAGTTAGATTTCGTTATTCGTCGAAAAATAATTTTTTTTTTAAATCTGACATTGCCAAAATGTGAATATTTTCATCCTTTAAAATACTTCTGTAATTGGAAGTATATAACTACGACCAACGATTGTGAAAATAAAGGTCGGGTAAGGTCGTGGATAAAGTAACACAGTCAAAAGTCTTTAATCTGGACTTGTCGGGACTTCGGCGATTCCGGATTATAGATCATCAGTTTAAATCTGGTAAGATGGCATGCAGAAATTATAAAATTAAAAATATGAAACCGTAATTTATGAAATAAAGAGCAATTATGATCTAAAGGGTATCAAAATTTACAAAAAAAAAAAAAAAAGCTTAATATTTATTTGTTTACTTTATTAAACATTTCTTTCAATGCGCGCATGCGTAAAGCATACATTACGCATAGTCGAAATTAGAAAATTGCAACCAGAAAACTATTTGATGTGTATTCGTGATATTTATAATGAGGAATTTGATTTAAATCATATCAAAGACGGAGTACATCGAGATGAAATACTACATTTAGTAAGGAATTATAAGCCGAATAAAATAAAAACATCTGCCCTGAAGATAAGGATAGTGCTGACAGATCAACTTCCAGTTCATTGCGCGCCGCGACGTCCCTTCCCCCCCGCAGAGCAGCGTGAAATTGATAAACAGATTTCGGAATGGTTAGAGAAACAAAGGATATGCCTTTATCCATTTTTTGCAGCAATTCCACTTTTTTGTTTGATGGACATCGAAACATGCTTTCGCTTTGTAGATCCTTTGGTAGCTCCAGCATCGGAAATTCTATTTGACATAATCGAAAGTTCAAGCTTACTTTTATAAAATTGCTCTAACAGTCTGCAAAAAATAATAAGCCGGATCCAATTCGAAGATTAAGAAACAATGCAATCTGCAACATTAACTGAAATAGATAATTAGAGCTTAGCTTATACCGTCCGTTATACATTAAATGCGCATGCGTAAACATATTATGCGGATGCATAGACGCATATGCGCATGCATAAAGGTATTATGCGCATGCAATTAACTTTATATGCATTGACGCATGCGCAAAAAGTTTGTAGCTTTGATGTAGCGGATTATAGATCATTCCGGATTATGGACATCTGGATTAAAGACTTTTGACTGCATATACTTTTGGTACTACCAATTGTAATAAAACTGCACAACTGAATGTTATAGCAGTTCCATAGACAAAACTTTAACGTTCTAAGCTAATCGTTTACCAGTTATATGCGAGATACATACGTACAGGCGTCGCAGAAAAGTCCATTTTTAATCCATTTTACACTCCTTTTTGCAAAACTGTGTCCTTTAGTCTGTCTTTACATATAGACGTCACATAAATAGTCAAAATAGATTCGGGAACAGTCAAAATGGATATTTCCATTGAAATAGGATACCCGAAATGTTTGGTGATTACAATACTTCCTTTACTTCGTATAAAGAAGTAAAAAATTGACACCTGTAAACATGAAATCCAATCTTGACATTACGTATTGGAAAATTAAAATCTGCTCTTTTGAAAAATATATATATACAAAATATTAAATCATCATTATTTATCTGAATGTTTAAATCAATAAAGCTCAATTTTTGCCCGTTTGTCGTTTGAAATGAATTTAAGACAGAAAAGGAATACTGCCTTCATTCCTTTTAACCCTTTGTAGCACAGTGTTTCCGGTTTGGACATACCTAAAAATTTTATTTTGATCATAATTTGATGAAATAAATTTGCAGCAACAAAGGCCAGGAAAATTTGCCTTTGAAGTTACTAATTATATTAAAAGCAGTACACATCAAACTGTTTTTTACTTTATACTACATTTTCAGGTTATTATATTATTATATCCAATGTAATGTTTAAGTTTTTGCAATATTATATGAGAATAATATTTTAGAGTAATCTTATTTCCGAACTACTATTATTGCCGTATTGATTTTACTTCGTTCTATTTTTGTAACTTTAGCTTAACCTTGAAAATATATGCTTAAAAGAGCTTTAAAAAATTAATATACTTAACAATTTAAAACTATTTAAATTAAAAATATGAAATTTTTTTAAAAATATTATTATTTTAAATAGTAAAGTTAAATTAAATTTAAATAATTCTCTTATGCTATTGCTGCGAGGAATGAAATTTGAATTTAACAAACATTCTCTATTTGTAAAAAGCAAAGTTAATTAAATTTTAAATAATGAAATTTAATTGCAAACAAATAAATGATCAATTATTGCTACGAACTAATCTAAAATATCATTTAAATTCTGAGAGCATATGTAAATCAAGTGCAAGTATCAAAATCCATGAATAAATATATAATTCCAAAAAATTTTTTAATCCTAAAAAATTTATAAAAATGCATAAGTGAATAATTGTTGAGCAGGCAGGAGACAGACTTATCAAGGGTGAGTATCTACTACATATTTAACACAGGGTGATTCTAAATTGTTTTTACAAATTAAGAGGGGTGATAGTACTCATCCAGATGAGCAATAATTATCATAGAACATAGAGTCCCATTCCACTATGAGAGGCACAAAAGCAGAATATTAGAATTTCAACCTGAACTTAATGACAGTATTGGGAGAGCGAATGAACGAGATCAAAAGTTGCACAATCAGTTTAGTGAAAAACTCACAGAGAATGCACAAAACGGATAAAACCAGAAACTTGGCATTCGAGAGTTAATTCGAGCTCAGACTCTGATGGAAAACACTCAAATCCACATCTTTGGTTCTTTTCTCTTTTCTGCCTCTCAGAGTGGAATGTGACCCTGTGTTCTATGCTAATTATTGCTCATCTGAATGAGTACTACCCCCCTCTTAATTTGTAAAAACAATGTAGAATCACCCTGTATAACATAAGAATATGTGTAAAGTATAAAATGCTACCAAATTTACATGTTATTTTAAAACAGTTCTGTTTGAAATACAACTGATAACTGTTGAATCATAGTCTGTGTAAAAATACAAAACACCAATGCAGATATTAAAAGCATTTTCAAGTAAACAAAGAATTTTCAACATTCAAATGGTTAATGAATATTATTCTTTTATGATCTTGATGATTATAATACAATGAAAGAATACATAATTCTACTTGTTTCAAATTGCCATTTTTATTCTCTTCAACAAACAAATCATTTACATTTAATTAATCATTTACATTTAATTAATCTTAATGCAGTTACTCAAAATTAAGATATCTCTGCAAACATTTTCAAAAGTATTTTTATCAAAATCTTCTATACAAAAATATATATAACTATATACATGTCTTATCTAGTCTCTTATCAGTGATTTTTCATGAATTGTATTAACTAAAATCACCTCATCAAGTCATACTAACACCAAACTTCAGAAATCCTTTGCTTTAACTTACAATTTAAAATTTAGAGGCCCTGAAAAAAAGAAAAATTATACATTGCATAAAATTTTAAGAATGATTACATAATATATGCCTCATATTAATATGTTATATACTCAAATACTTAATGCTTAGATGAAACATACTTCAATTAAATTACTTTAAGATAATCCTTTCAATTCATCTGGTGCACACAAGCTAATGCAGATGAACATGACTAATATTGTTTATTCCTTCCTGTTTGTAATCTGAAAACCGTTATTTGTTCCTATATTTTGTACCAGCTTGCTCTTTTATAATAAATTATTTTTCATACTTATTCTTTAAGTTAAAAATATTTTAACCTGTTACTAACATAAGTTACTAACATTCATTAAAGCAATCTAAAAAAAATTATGATAAAGTGTTTAACCAGCTACATAAAAGGGATGCATTTGAGAGCTTTGTAAGAGCTTTGTAAGTATTCACATTTACATCCCACATGGCAAAACTATGATCGCACACAGCTTGGCAGCATGATCCAGAATTGTAATCATGCTATAATTATTATGTTTTCAAGTTTTAATCATTCAATCAGTGATGAATCTCAAAATTTGCTATTGTTATAGATATCCCTATAACAATATTTACTTATTATTTAATTAAATCCTGCTGGTTTCCAAAAATTAAAGAAAAATGACAAAAGTAGCAAGAACTTGTCCAAAAATAAGACAATCCGTATAAAATTTCAATATGTTGTCAAATAAGGTGGTGTGGTGTGGTGTATTTAATTATGGCAAAGCACACTAGGGCTATCTGCCTAAGAGAAGGGATGCCTTTCGTGGAGGACTTTCTAAGGGAAACTGGCTCGTATACACGTTACACATGGGGAAAACCACAAAAAACACCCATGCAGCCAGCCCGTTCGCAGGATTCGAACCTCGGACCGAACTACCAGTGTTCAGCGACTTTACCGCTCGGCCGCTGGTGGGCCCTGTTGTCAAATAAGAGTTGTTGAGTAAAACTGCAGTATGCAAATTAGTGGTGCTGCAATCCAAATGTGCCATCTGAGAGGAGCATGTTTGAGAGAAAGCTTGTAAATTTCGCTGTAATACTGAGATAAGGAATCTGGGAACTGAGAATGCGGATGAAAGAATAGAACTGCACCTCTGACTCAACTCAGATCCTCCCTTGCTTGCAGCCACCAGAGGGTTGTGTGAATGTCAACTATGCGTAGAAGGCAAAGGACATCTGAATGCAAGGCGGCCAGCCATCTGAGCGCTGCTCATGTCACATCATAAAAAGGGAACATTTGAGGTGGGCATGTAAACATGTCCACTAGATGGCTGATCAAAGGAAGGCTGTTCTCTTTATTCACGAGTCCAGGTTTACCCTCAAGCGATAGTAGGCAGTTTTTGATTTGGGATGAATCTGGAACTCATAATCATACATCAAACATCGTTGAGAAGAGATTCAAATGGAGGAGGCAGTGTCTGTGTTTGGGATGATATATCTTTGGGTGGGCATACAAACCTCCATGCCTTTCTACATGTGAATGAGAATGCTAAGACCTATAGAAATGACATCCTTGATGTTTATGTGTGCCTTTATATCCCAGAGCAATAGGTGATGATTTCTTGCTACAGCACAACAACGCTAGACTGCACCAGGCTTGCATTGTGGAGGATTATCTTCAGCAGCAAACAATTCAGCACACTGGAGTGGCCAGCTTGATCACCGGACCTGAATCTTATTGAGAATGTTTGGACTGCTTTAGGAAGATGTATAGCTCCTCTCAATCCTCCTTTTCAGATCCTTGCCACGCTTGTACGTGCGTTGCAAAAGTAAAGGCTCTCACTTCCTACAGAACTGACAGAACGCCTAATTGACAGCATCGCACATTGCTATAGGTGCTGTACTTCTTCTACAGAAGATCAAACTCCATATTAAAGGTAATTTTCCTATACCAAACTGGCACATCCAATTTGTTCATTTTATACCTATGTTAATTTCTAGAATACTATAATTGTCTGGTAATTTCTTTTCATGTAATTTTATACCTTACTATGTGTTGTATATTGTGGGTAAGTTTCATAAATTCTACATGTAACTTTTTGAGTATCATCATTTTTCTGATTTTTCCTTGATTAATGATAACCAGCATATTTATACATATTTTTAGAGAAACAAAAATGAATGATCTTAAACAAATCTGGAACTAAATTTAGCATATTAAAAGTGAGATTTTATTTATGAATTCTTTACTGCTTTTAACTTAGTGCTTTACTGCTTTTAACAGTAGTGGTCTAAAGTGATGGCATGCTGCCCCACAACAATTTTAAGAGGCCCACAAATATTCCTGTATTTAATGAACATTATTATGAAATTAATTATGGTAATAATTTGATGAAAGGCTTAATATTTTAAAGATTTTGAGTACACATTTATTTAATTTTCATTAAAAGCAAATGTGAATAACGTCCCAGAAAAGTTGCATGTGAAGCTAATTGTCACTATGATATAAAGATTTGATTAACCTTTTTCCATACTTTTCAAAAGATAAATACCCTTACTTATGAGCTTTTGCAATAAGACAGTTATTTTTGCATTTGACCACCAACAAATAACACCACTAAATCGGAGACAAGAGAAATAAAAAACCAGACAGTGCTTTTGAAAAACTACACAAATTAAGCCCAAAGAAAATTCATTTTGAGGCCGAAAAAGAAATTAATGATGACTGTAATAAATCAAACATGAATGGTTTTCAAATAAAACTCACAAATGACAATGAAAATATCCCTGAATGGCCTAAGCTTAAAGATAAACAAGAATGCATAGATAATTTGAATAACAAAATAATATCCTTAGAAAATTGTATTAAAATATTGAAACATAGAGAAAAGAAAAATTTGCACAGTGACAAGAAAGGTGGACGACATCTATAAAGAAATTTGTATCAGAAATTAAAATCTCAAATAAAAAATTCAGAAAAAAAACAATACAGATTGGAGAATTAGGAAAAACATCTAAAGCATATTTTTACAAAGATGCAGATTAATGCACTGCTAGAAAAGAAGAAAAAAAATGAGGTGGACTAGTGAAGATATTTCACATTGCATTGTCATGACAGCTTTGTCATCTAAAAGCTAGGAATTTTGAAAAGAAAAAATGGAATTCCTTTACATAGTACTAGCATATTAAACAGATGGTATGCTAAATTTCCAGGTAGTCCAGGAATTCAGAATGGTGTTCTCTTCTTCTAATGAAGGAAAGATGCGAATATTTGAATTCCCTAGAAAAATTTTCATTCTCAGTTTCGCCGAAATGCATATAGATTCTAAACTCTGCTATGACTCTAAACTAGACCAAATTCTCTGTCCTTTTCAAAAAGTGCAGTTTCTTTTAATCAGATGTCTCATTTCACAGTGGAAACAACCAATATTTTATTTTAAGACTCCAATGAAGTAGAAGTGATGACATATGGAGTAGAAGTGAAAGCAATAGTGTCTGATTTAGGAAGGATCTAGTACTTTGTGGAAAGAGCTACAGATTTTGATTAATAGTTTTCACTTTCCAAAACCCATAATGCAAACAAAAAGAAAAATATGGGTTTTTGCAGATTACTGTCTCAAATTACAGAGAAACCACTTATTATATAAAGGATTTGTTTTAGAAAATAGAACTTTTTAAATGTTGATATTATTACAGAGGTTTTAAAAAGAGATTCAGGAGAAATTAAATTGTGTCACAAACTAAAACTGAATTATTTAATGGTCAAGGGAAACGAGATACCAAAAAGTCGCTCCAGTGAAAACATTATTTTGAAGCACTACCACAAAAGGAAATAAAAAAGCATGTGACATTTTTGAGTTAACAGATAATTTTTTCGATGTCATGAATAGTACCAAGCCATACCCTCCTTCAGATAAAATACTTAGAGCAACACTTGGATTAAATGAACATCATGAGAAATAAATTTAAGTTTTGGAATTAATGAAGAATGTCATCATCAATGCATTAAGAGTTCAGGGAAAATCTAATATACTGCCAAAGAGGAATAATAATTTCAATAAATTCTCTTTTTGACCTATACTAGGATCTGAAATCTTTGTTGGGTCACAATCCCCATGAGGGTCGTGGGACCTGCAGCAGGGGAGTTGCCAAAAATTTTAGTAGTTTTGATATTTCTTTGACTTATTATGTTATAATAATTTTACAACTACCAAATACTTTTACACAATGTATCAGAAAATAGGTAAAGATAAGACAAAGAAAAAAGAAAATGTTTCAAGGCATTCTTTTTATAATATAAACCTTCATTTTACTTGCTTTACGCACGATGCTGTCATTTCGTTTGTTACTTATTTAAAATTTTCACATTGTTCTATGTCTTGAAATTAATGACCTAAAAAAATGATGTTAATGACCTAAAACTGCAGCAGTGTATTACAATACAAACGAAAAAATTGACAGTTTCACTTACGTATGTGTCAGATTTTCACAATCCTTATGGGGTCACACAAAATTTTTAAAAATATTATGGGGTCCTGTGGTCACGAAAAATATCTCAGTGATAAAAAGTGGTCACGATTAAAAAACGTTTAAGAAGCCCTGCTTTAGATTAACTCAGTATGCATTTGAAAGCCTCTTTAGTCAGATTCGAGGCCTTGGTAGGTTTAATGACCATCCATCACCTAGTGAAGTTAGACGATGCTTAAGCAATTACTCGCTAATAAGCTATCAAAACTACCTTCAAAAGTATGCACAACTAAAAGCAGAAATATTGATTCATATTTAACATCAGAATTACTTAAAAGGGCTTTGAAAACTGAGGTGGAAGATGCTTTTCCTTTAAATACTATTGATAATTTGGATTTGGATTTAATAGAGGAGTCTTCTCCTATGGCTTGGTTATTAGAATTGAATTCCAGCAGACAATTTTCTTTTTTCTCTTTTCTTAACTTTTTTAGGGGCCACTATATAGTCAGTTGTGTTTCCTGTTTGAAAGGACAGTGTTGTCCACTTTAATGGTCAAGTCCCCCCCCCCATTTTTTGGCTAAAAGATTGGGATGAAATGTCAAAAGTTGATGTCCCTGGAGTCTTAACCCTGTATCTCTTTCAAAGACCTTTGTATTATACAAATTTTGCTTCATTGAGGAAAAGCATCTAAAAGCCTAGTCACTAATCCCTAAATTTTTGTGTAAAAATTCACCCCACTGAGAATCCATTAAACAACACACAAGGATCTTTGTTGCAAGAAGGGTGTGATTTCTTAAAGGGGGGAAAGCATTAGGTTCAAGATTCCCGTCCTTTCAAACGTCTTACAGCTGCCAATGCCCCGTCCTCAAAAGATTAAAAGAAACACAAGGAGTTTCCCATGTACCCATAGTATCACATGGGGCTTACAGATTATTAAGTATTAAACACAATACAAAATAAACAGAAGAGAAAATTAAAGCAAAATTAAGAAGAATTACAAAACTTTACAATGAACTCACAAAAACTGTTAAAAGCACTTATCTCAGAAATAAATTGGTAAAATTCTGGAGGCCATTAATATTAAAATTTATCAGTCCCAATTTCAAGATTTTTCTTTCGCTCTCATATTTAGGACATAGAAGAAGCACATGTTCAACATTCTCTTCGCCACTGATGCTACAATCACAGAGAGATTCTGGGCTCAAATCTACTCAGATAACTTTTGAAATTTCTGTGGCCAAAATTGGGTTAATTTATAGTTTGTGTAGAGGTGATGACATGACAATCTCATTTGGATGGAAGGGGAAAGTCTTAGTTAAGCTCCCTTTATTTGAGCTAATGAATTCTTGTTTCCATGACTCCACAATACTTTCACACATGACCTTCTTATTAAATGAATTAGGGATATTGACAAAAAAGTCAATTTCACGTTTGGTGGCAGTCTTAGCAAGGAAATCAGTTCGTTTGTTTCCAACAATACCTGTACGACCACGAACAAATACTCGACCACAGAAAAAGAAGCATTAATATATATTGCAGGTTATATTGCCTACCGTGTGCAGGATACCTTCCCATTCACACATGAACACAGTTTACGAGTTCAAAAAAATATTTTGTGCAGTTCATGGTACAACTTACTATAAAGGTGTAATTGCCTCTTTAATTACTAAACTGGAGAAACATTATCCTGAAGACGCAATTTGTTTCTTTTACAGAGTGCAAACTTTTATTAGAATACATTTTATAAATGGAAATGCATATGTTTTTTCCCAAAGGAAAGCAACTCAAAAGGCAAAAAAATGGATTCCTTCGAATGTGGTAGCTAATAAATAATGCTTGAACAGCCTGTAGTTGCAGTGTGACTGTGCGAGTAAGCATTTATATCATTTGCATTTAAATATAATATGTTTTGATTTGAAATATTTCTGGATAACATTTTAGAAGTTAATAGTGTATATTTCAAATAAAACCTAATTTTGTCAAGTACTTGTTAAAGTTATTCTTATTGTATCCTTGTTATTATTCATTCAATTTTGTGCTAGCTTAGCATTCTAGATAAAATATAATAGTATAACATCAAACTAATTGGCATAAAAACCCCTGCCTCCTTAAACTCCACTTTTGAAAATTAAATAATTTTTTTTAGATACTGTGAGTAAAATTATTTTGTCAAAATTAAGACAACAATCTACATATATTAATTTAAATGTAACATAGATGTACGTATAGGTTACAAAATTATTTAAAAAATATCTATTAATATATTTAATCGAAAGAAAATGTGTCATGGTAAAATTTACAATTAGGCAAAAAATCAAACTTAGATTAGTAGAAATTTTTTCATATATGCCATAGATGTTTAAAACTATGTCAATCTATGGTTGTTTTTTGATTAATTTAAATAGCTGTTATTATAGTTATCTTAGAAGCAGTAGGAAAATTCTATTAGTTAACATGCAGATAAAGAATTTATTATAAATAATAAAAAAAAAAAATAAAAAAAACAGGCCAGGAACTTTTATGTTTAAGAGAAGTGCATTTTATCTATTATTTTAAAATGGAGTAAGTATTATTAATTTTTTTAATGTTCAATGTAAAATGAACAGCAGTAACATTGTCTTTTCCAAATTATAGCTATCTTTCACACACAGTTTATTTTAAACTGGTTCTTCAAATTTAAAACACTAATTTCTATGTTGTAAAATGCATCTCTGCTCTCAGTATCAATATGACTACGTCATCATTTCTCATTTTCTGTTTCAAAGGGAAAAGCTCTATGAGCAAACACTTCTCTTCCATTTCCGGGGAAAAACACAATGTATTAGCAAAAATAAGATTTATTTATCATTATGGAGGTCATAATTCAGTAGTTGCTTCTATTTTAGAATCATATACTGGTAGTTTCTGATTTTCACCTATATTTAACTGTCTATTGTAATGTCTGACAGCAATTAGATCTTCAGTCCAACAGTATATGAAGTGCAAAACAGTAGGAAAAAGGATACTGAAACCAAGGAATAAATTATCAGCACAAAGACTTTTTCCTGCAATTTTCCGCATATCTAAAAATATTTTATCTCCCAGTGAATAGATGTCCATTTTTTTACTTTCAGTCAGTAGTCAAAACTCTGTGTTCTTCAGGTGTGTGTGGGGGGTGAGGTCTTTTTTTTTTTTAAATATATATATATATATATATATATATATATATATATATATAGGTAAATTGCATTGGTACTTTGTAGAGTCGTTAGGTTATTTCAAAGCAGGAGAGATGAAAAATGAGCAATGCCCTTGCCGGGACTCGAATCTCGGACCTCTTGGCCATTACACCATGAAGCCATGCTAAGAAGGCAGAAGAAATACCTTATAACTTGTATACAACTCCCTTGACCATGAAAGTTGGTGTATATTCCGCCAAAGTTGCATCAACAGTTTGCAGAATTCTAAAAAAACTAACAGCTCTTTGTTTAATAAACAACTAGTATTTGACTTACTTAATTTTTGTGCTTTATAAAAAGGCTTTCGTTGATTTGTACTATTTTGTTAGGCCCCCTAATTTTACCGAAAGTTCTGTTTATAACGTTATGAATTCAAACTTCCCACAAGTAGCTGTTGCAGTATATTAGTTAGTGTTTTGCAACCCATATTCAGCTGACCATATTGTGTCCACTTCTACACAATTTTATTTTGTCATCATAGGATCGCATAACTTTGAAAATAATCTACTGCTTCCTTCTGTAGAAACAAAAGGTTGTTTACAACATGCTTATCCATAACTGGTGCCAAATAGCAGTGCTTGGTGACAGTTTCACGGTTGACGGTATAATACAGAAGTACCATAAAATTCAGTCAACATTTTGAAGAAAAAAAATAACGAGGAATGCAAAGGAATGAACAATACCATGAAGAAACTACTACCTATTTTCCACTTGATGGAAAATTAAAAATGATCAGCATTTTAGAGAGGAAAAAAGTAAGAAAAGAACAATATTTTACATGTTCTAAAAGTGGGCATGAAAATAAAATATGTTACTATTAAGCACTACAAAAAAAAAAGGAAAAGAAATGAAGGTAAGAACAACTTGATGAAGAATTCAAATATACTGAACAAAAATGACATAGAAACATATACACTAGTGGGCAGAAAAAAAATGAATTAATGCTACAAGTGGGCATGAAAAAAATAGTTAAATTGCACTACAAAAAAAAAAAAAAAAAAACTACAGTTTCTTTTCCAACTAATTGATTATAAATTAAACATTTTAGACGAAAAAAAATACTGAATGATGACGGTATGGGGACAGCATAGTTATTAAAGCAGTCTAAAAACTAAACAAGTTGCAATTTAAAAATCCACAGATTACATCTGCCAGATTTTGAGGATTGATGAAGGTGATAACTTTAAGAAGGAGGTACCATATAAAATATATTTAAACAATGACTTCTTCAAAAGGAATAAAAAATTCACATACCTTACCCAATCACATGTGGTAGAAATGATAGCAATCCACTTTCAGGAGCAGGATCTCGGATAATTTTCTGAACTTCTTTAAATTTTGGATGTGCAGCATCACCGACTAAACCTAATATAACACTTTCACTGGTAGTAAGCCAAGCCCCCATCGCTTTCATTCTCTGAAATGAGTATATCCTATGGGAAAATATCAAATATTAAGATATTGCACTCATTCATCATTATCTTCATTAATTAAATATGTAAAATTATTTCTAACAAAAACAAGCTTCAAGAAATATTTATGTATACCTATCAACCATAGAACGAGATGAGCAGCCATCGGCTACAACATGAACATCAAATCCATGGTTTAAAAGAGATTGCACGGTGCACTGTACACATACATGAGACTCTATGCCACATATAATTATATTATTCACATCTGGATGTTTGTTTTTTAAAAAATCATTTACTTCAGGTATCATCATACTGAACTGAGTTTTTTCAAAAGGCTTTAAATCTGGATATTCATTTAAACCAATTTCTTTCACAGTATGACCCAGACCTGAAAATAATAATAATAATAATTAATTAATAAATAAAATACATAATTAAAATTTAAAAAAGTGTTGAGATATTTTAGGCATTAAGAATGTTTATTAACCGTTTGAGTCCCAGGGGTATTGAAAAAACACTGTCAAAGAATCCCAACAGCGCAACCGCGCTTTCCCTAAATGAGTACGAAAAGACCCAAGCAGCGCGATAGTGCTTGTTTTATTTTATGTTGAGAAATACCAAGCGGCGCGATAGCACTCATTATCAACATTAAGTGCACCGTCAGTTGTCCACAATATTCGAAATGTACCAGTAAATATCAAAAGTAAAGTACACCAGTAAATATCTACATAAAATATCAAAAGTGCCTTCGTGCTGCTTGGGACTCAAATGGTTAATAGCATATAAATTTTTATAATAGAATCCTAAAATATGAAGAAGCTTATTAGTGATTTATGCAACTCATGAAACTTGTAAACTTAAAAAATATAGGATGGCATGGATTACATCTACTAACTTGAGTAGAAAATCCTGCTAGAATGCATGTATGCCATACGCCTGGCTTTTTATGGTTGCACGTATGCCATATATGCAACAACAGAAAGCTAGGCAATTAATATGCCATCAAGCATATTTTTTCATACTACCCAGCACTTTTGTTTTGGTGTATTTCCTTGGCACCAAGTGTTAGCAGTTTCATTTCACTTCTTTCTTGATAACTCTCTTTATAATAATTGCTCATGCAATTATGCTTTCTCTCTCTCTCTATATATATATATTTTTCCTTTTCAATGAATTCCATAACTCGGCATTAGCCAAGAGATGAAGTGACTAAACTAAGTTCTTCACTAGCTACAGAAATGTTCTTCAAAAAGAATAACTGTTCAAATAATCTTATCCTACTCAATGCACCTTTTGCTCCTGCATGAAGAAAAAGATATCCAACCATAAATGTGGTTTTGCTGGATCATGAATTTCTTTTGTTACTGTCATACGGTTCATTTACTCAATAGGAATTGTGAAAATTAATGAAAACTTGTTCAACAAAAAAAAAAAAATAAATAAATAAATAATATCTTTAGAATTTTGGATACACAGTCTCGTGTGCTCGACATAAAAATGTATTTTTCCGTATAGTGTTGACAATGCCGGCTTTCAAATCGTTGAGATTGTTAATCAAAAATTCATAAGTTTTATAAAATTTTAAATATATAATAAAACAAATTAAAAGTTCAAGCTTCCAAGTGCCCATGTTCGGTTGGAGGACCACATTATTCAAAATTTGTTGGCTCTAGGTACTGTTACTTCTTCACAATGCAAGAAACATTCATACATTCATGCTGATTCTTCATTTAGTTTCTTATAATATAATACATGGCGATAATATTTAGCGGCAACAGTTTGAAAAGTGAATTGACGCAAAATGCCATTTTAAAATTAATAGCCCTTCCGGGCTAAAAACCTGAAATTTATATTACTTTTTTTCTAAATGCAATTTTTTAAGCATTTTGCTCTAAAATTAGAAAATGTTCCAGGTTACTGTTCTTGATCACTCTGTTTTGTCTAGCACCCATTTAAAGGCTAGAGGAAAGAAATAAGACAGAAAGCCCTATGGTGATAAAATGCATAGAATGGATTTCACACTAAACTACTGAATGTGTGATAGAATAGGTACAGAAACAGAACTCCAGAATTTCATCAATAATCATTCAAGTACAGTTCCATCATACTAACAGTGCAGCATTATCCCTGTTTTGATCGACAACAGATCCGAGTCTCCCATCCCTTTTCTCCTTTCACCAAACCACTCGAAAGTACTTTTTAATTGCCAGTATTTTAAATGCCTGCATGATGTGCATGTGACACTATACACTTACATCAATACTTTCTCAAAGAGGCAGTCAGCTTCACTAAACACAGCATCAGATCATGGATTTTTCCAAAGTGGGACAAAACTTAGAACTGCCACCCTCACCCATATTTCTTTAAGTATCTCTAGCTAACTCGTGGTTTTAAATTTTTGTAGCAGCCATCTTGAAATTGTGCCTTGCTGGTGCCGATCTTGGCATCAAAAAAGAATTAAAAAAAAAAGAAAAAAAAACCAAGGGGCACCCAATTGTAAACTTTTACCTTTTGTTTTAATTATGTTTTATTGCATTATGCTTTGGATGCCATTTTACCAGCTTTCTTAGTAATTTTGCAACTGAAAATTTTTATGCACATGAACTCAAAATTCTTCCCTGTAATTGCTATCTAGACCTAAATTTACCAAGAAATTTCTAACAAATAAATGTTGTTCATTATATTATAAATGATAATATCCCACAGTTTAAAAACCTAATGTTATTAATAATCACATTAAATGTAAATATATATTAAATGTAATAATCATATTAAAAGTGCAATAACTTAAAATGCTGCTATGAAACTATCAGAACAGGAAAAGGTAAAATCAACATGTTAGAAATTTCAGTAATATTAATTTTGGCTCTACTCTTATATATGCCCTAAGATTACCAAATGTGCTGATATGTGTTCTGCAGTGGTTTTTGGGGACAACATAGTTTGTATGACAACCCTTTTGACATTGAAACTTAACTCTTTTGCTGCAATGGTTTAATTGCTTGTTGGTTCGTGTCGTGCATATTTTGAAATAGCCTATGTTGCAATGAGAGACGTGGTGGCAAGATTTCAGATGCACATTTTAAATTGTGTGCAAAACAAAATCCTACAAGGATTTAGGAAAAGAAGGTTTTGAACATTTATTTGTGAACCATAGTATCAATTTTGTACTAGCGAGGATCGCGAGTCTGGCTGTCATATAAATATCATAGAGAGTGCGTGGGACATATTAAAGCTACGTTCTGTTGTCCGAAGAAGCATCCATTATGGTAAGTGCATTTTATTTTATTGTTTTTATTTTATAGAGTGTTATGTTCATTGTTTTTTTACTATGAATTTCTGTTGTTGTTTTTATATAATTTATTTTAGTTAGTTTATTTTGCTGATTTATGTGCAATGTCTAGATTGTGCAATTCGTAGATGTTTAAGTTTAAACAGAATACTGTGTGCATAGTATTCTTTAAAATTTATTGTTGTTATGTTAATTTATTAAAGCAAGGTGTGCATAGTTCATGGATTCCTTCGTTGCCTAGACTGTGCAATTCGTAGATGTTTTTCTAAGATAAAACATATCGCTTTGTACGTGGATTCTTGTCAAATATTTTTGGTTAGAAATTTTTAGTTACTAGCTAAATTTTTTGTTTTTGTTTCGGATTTTTAGCTTAAAATGTGTGTTCAAAACATGGTTTTAGCATGTGTGAGAACCACGTTTTTGGAGACATTTTAGGCTTAAAGTTCGAAATGCAGACAAAAAAATTAGATAGTAATATGGCACCGTGGAGTTTCCTGCCAAGCGAGGGTGTATGTAAGTTCCTTAATTTTTACTCAACTTTTTTTCTATGTCCACACCCTCCTTCAGAATTAGATAACACAGAAAGAGTTTTCTGGAAAAAAAATAAAAAGTCAAAAATCAGCAAAGTTACTAAAAAAAAAACTGTCAAATGAAAAGTTTCTAATTTTGGCATACAGTACAAACCTTTATAATTTTTTTTTAAATAATTGTCTTAACTATGCATCTGTTTATAGTAGATATGAATATATGCAACAATAAACATATTTAAAAAATTAACAATTTTTGAATAAGGATTATTTTTGAAGCAAAGTGCTAATGTTCTGACTGAATAATATAAATTATTTTTATATTTAAACAAAATTAATATACAAACTAAATTTTAGGCCTAAACACACATTTATCTGACAAGTGAAACACACTTTTTGTTCTAAAAAATTGATTGTAACATTTATAAGCAATATTTAATGCTTCATCAAATGCGAATGAATAAACACCTTTCAAATATACTGATCCATTAAAAAAATACAATAACTCTGTTCTTCATTACTGCATCTACAGTTGTTTTCGAGCAATATTTTGATATTTTGCATTTAAACTGTTTTTCTCCGCCAAATATCCAATAAAATCTGAATCATTCATATCATTTTCAAAATATTATAACTCTTTTATGGATCTTTTTATATAATAAATTTTAATAATGGATTATACTTACAAATGACTTCTCTATTCCTTTGAGCTACCCTTTTCTTATTTTTTTCTATTTATTAGCCTAAAAGGACAATTTGCCCAGAAGGGCTTTTAATTTCGTTTTGGCATTTTGTGTTGGCCACTATAAAACAGCGTTTCACTTTTCAAACTATTGCCACAAAATATTAGAGCCCTGTATTATATTTAAAGTTAAATAATGAAGAATCTGAATGAATGTAGATATGTCTCTCATATTGTGAAAAAACAACGATACCTAGAGACATCAAATTTTGAATAACGTAGTAATCCATTTGAATATGGGCATCTGAAAGCCTAAATTTGGAATCTATTTTACTATCTATTTCACATCTTGTAGACTTTACAAATTTTTTATTAACAAACTCATTGATTTCAAAGCGAACAATGACAACACTACACAAAAACATTTTTATCTCCACCAGGTGAGACTGTATATCGGAAATTCTAAAAATATGAACATTTTAAATATTTAGTGATATTGCTGTTGAATTGAATTTTACAGTTTAAATGTGAAGAACATGACATTTAATAAATAAAGGTAATAAAAATGATAAAAAGAATGTCCCTTTGGGTGTAAGATATAATCTCAAGCCTGTATGATATGATTTTTTTTTTTTTTTTTTTTTTTTTTTTTTTTTTTTTTTTTTTTTTTTTTTTTTTTTTTTTTTTTTTTTTTTTTCAATTCCTGTACTAAATTCTAAACAATTTGCAACCTCCAGGCCTTGCTCCCCACATCAGTTCCATCAGTCCTGACATCAGCCCTGAATGAGAAAGCTAGATCCATAGGCTAAAAACATGGAATCAATGAAATTAAAAGTAAAAACAGATATATTACTAGAGAGTTTTAGCTTGTTGGCATCCAATATTTGCAATTGAATATGTACTGCATACCATATTTATAATCACACATATAGTTACTTTGTAGTTAAACAAAGAAAACTTTTCAATTGTATGGTTATTATTGATAAAATACTGTATTTAAATTTTTTATACTTTTTTTTATATTGGCACCCTACACTATATTATTATTAAAAGTGAGAATAAGTAGCTATTGCTCTAAAACATAATGACTATAAATTATCTTAGCTGACTCTGGTTGGTTGCCAGAGAAAATTTTCAAACTGACAATGCACTGTCTTAAAAACAAATTTTTGGTTGATCTTTGGGGTAACTTGGCGATTTTTTGGCGACCAACTCTGCTACAGCAACCCTCTATTTTTTTTCGCCGCCATTTTGTCTTCACGAAGTAAAGACATGTTTCTTTTCTTTTTATTTACTGAACACTTTTTCCAACAATCTACTAGCCGAATTACACTTATGCTAGAAATTTTATGTAACAAAACTGCTTAATCATGACAAATATTCACTGCAAAATTGGGAAAAAGTGCACAATACCATACTCCTTACGCGTTTTTCAAAATAACACATACACATAAACCATGTACACACGTCGACTTATTTTTACTTAAAAAAAACATCCCAGAATTGCATGCACAAAAATGGCATTGCGCACACTCTTCACTATATCCATGTACACTGCTTTTTTCTCATAAATTAGAAAAATTTCACGAAAAAAATGCATGACAATTTTCTCAATCTTTAAACCCGGTAAAAAGAACATATATGAAATTACCTGATCGCGAAAAAGTATATACCCTTTCCAAATATGAACATTTCCACATATAAATAAAATAAATATCCAAAAACTTTTACCTCTAAATCATCTATTATATTATAAACGTCACCAACGAATTCATACCGCAAACATTACAAATTACAATACTTAGTGTCAAATATTTAAATTATTTCCATGCACGTTTACTTCAACTAAAACGTATACCAAATTCCTACAAACATAAAATTCACAAAATAACTATCATTTAATTAAAATATAATTAAATTCAAAAACACTACTTAAAATATAAATGAGCACATACATTAAATTAATAAAAATTAGCTTACAATCCTAATTACTTTAAACTAAATCATTGCTAATAACAATTTTCCCAATAATACCAAATTACTTTCCACCTTACATTTAGAACAATGCATAAAAATAATATCCTCAAATAATTAAAAATACTAACTTACCTAATCTTCTTCAGAATCTTGATTACGTGGCGATAAACTTTTCTTTTTCTTATTTCCTCCGCTAAATAAAAAGCAATCGTATGTGCGCCTTTTCAGGATCTTTAAAATCATACTTATAGTTCACAGCAAGGTACCAGGTAAAATAAATAACTTAATAAAACATCTTTACTTCTATCTCGCACAACCTTAAAAAAACACTTTTTATTACTACCCCTTTCAATCCACTAAATACCCATTTCGAATTCACTTTAGTTAGGGCCATGGGATCCAAAAATTAACGAACACTGTTTCACACAACACAGAATAAAGCCAAATACAAAATTTCCAGATTTTTTTCCGATTTCCCCCCTTTTCCCTTTTCCGATTAAAGAACCGTAATTCGTCCATTAATATCACATGACATATCCCATGATCTCTCATTTTCCCTCACACAAAATAATGCGTAATCGAACAGTATTCCAAATGATACCAAGTCCATGTGCCACCCCAAACCATATTCAAAGATCAGCCTTTTTTATTGCATACAAAATGGCTGATCTTTGGAATATGGTAACTGGTAGTTTGGCGACATTTTGGAGGCGATAAAGGTTACTACCTAGGACTTTGGTAATAATGTGAGAAGCACTCAGTTCCGATTACGCATTATTTTGTGTGAGGGAAATGAGAGATCATGAGATATGTCATGTGACATTAATGGACGAATTACAGTTGTTTAATCGGAAAAGGGGGGGAAATCTGGAAATTTCGTATTTAGCTATATTCTGTGTTGTGTGAAACGTGACATTAATGGACGAATTACAGTTCTTTAATCGGAAAAGGGGGTTAATTTGGAAAAGCTTCATTGTGTGTTGTGTGAAATAGTGTTGATTAATTTTCGGATTGCATGGCGCTATGTAAAGTGAATTCTAAATTTTTAATTTAATTCGTTTATCTGATAATAATAATAAGTTGAGATTGTGTGAAAGGAAGGATATTACAAGTTTAAATGGCGGTGCAAGAAATATGGTGAAAATGGACATTTTGTGAAAAGGAGTGTAAGGAAGGGTACGTGGTTTGCTGAAAGTAGTTTGAGTATAGGTGAAATTTTATTAATTTCTTATTACTTGGTGAATAGACTTCCAGTTGACTACTGGATTTAGGATTTAGAAATTAGCAGTAGTACTGCAGCGACGTAATGAAGATTCTGAAGAGAATTAGGTAAGTTAGTATTTTTAATCATTTGAGGATATTATTTTTATGCATTGTTTCTAAATGTAAGGAGTAAATAAATTAAAATGGTATTATTTGAAAATTGTTATTAGCAATGATTTAGTTTAAAGTAATTAGGATTGTAATCTAATTTTTATTAATTTAATGTATGTGCTTATTTATATTTTAAGTAGTGTTTTTTAATTTTAATGATCGTGATTTTTTTGTGAGTTATATGTTTGTAGTATTTTGGAATATGTTTGAGTAGTATTTTGAGTATTTTCATGCATTTTTGTGAAATTTTTCTAATTTATGAGAAAAAAGCAGTGTACATGGATATAGTGAAAAGTGTGCACAATGCCATTTTTGTGCAATTCTGGGATGTTTTTTTAAGTAAAAATAAGTCGACGTGTACATGGTTTAGTGATATTTTAATTAAATGATAGTTATTTTGTGAATTTTTATGTTTGTAGGAATTTGGTATACGTTTTAGTTGAAGTAAACGTGCATGGAAATAATTTAAATATTTGACACTAAGTATTTGTAATGTTTGCGGTATGAATTCGTTGGTGACGTTTATAATATAATAGATAATTTAGAGGTAAAAGTTTTTGGATATTTTATTTATTTTATACGTGGAAATGTTCATATTTGGAAAGAGTATATACTTTTTCGTGATCAGTACCTTTTTCAATTATAATTTTGAGTAAACACCTATTTTGACTAAATCAAGAAAAAACAAATCATGTTTCGGAAGAAAGCAATTATTATTTTCAAAAATCAAATACTAATGGTACTTAAATTTAGCGCTGATAGAAATGTAAAATCGAATACCTTTTGGGTACTGCTCAGTGACAATAACTGGCATATCTAATATTTTGGCAGCTTTTAAAATACGGGATGCAGCATTCGCTATCGCTGGGAAATATTGTATTGAAGAGGCAAATTTCTCTTGCATATCGCAAAGAAAGAAGGCCGTTGTTTTAGGAATAAGTTGCTTTAATCTGCAGATGTTCGACATTTTAAAATAACAGGTTACCAATACTAAATATAACGTTAGGGTGTTTTACACTCTTTACAGCAGGACACAGCTCGACATAAACGTAAACAAAGTAATCGCCAAAGTAGAAGTTAATGTTTATCATGTGTTTGCGGAAGCTCTGTGGATTATGGGCAAGTGTCTCTCAGTGCTCAATTCTCATCCCCCTGTAATTTCTTTTGTATGTTAATAACAATCACTAACTTCTGTAAGGGAATACCAGAGCTGCTTGTAACGCAGACGATATAGCAATCTGGCAGGCGTTAATGTCTAAGAACTCAGTAACTTATACTTCCTTGATCCTTGACTCAAGAAAAGACATAGAAAAGTCTGGAAGATCATTAAACCAACTCCTTGGAGGCATTCTAGCTTGGTCGAGAGAAGTAAAAATGGGTTAACCCATTTAAGCCTACTGTTCCATTTTTGAAACCATTGTGAGATAAACCCTCACAAAACAAGCTACGTAATTTTCTCCACAGATCGAAAACGCAGAAAATCTTTTCAGCCTACCATATTAATAGATGGCTTGCCAATGACTAAGGCAGGTAACCCAAAATATCTTGGCGTGCCCTTAGATACTGAACTACGTTTCACTACACATCTGTAAAATTGCTTCAACAAAGCACTAAACAAACTTATATTTTGAAAAGCCTATGTGGAAAGGATTGGGGAACCACTAAGAAAACACTAAGATCTGCTTACATAGAATTGATAAGACTAAACCTTGATTATGCGGCACCTATTTGGGCATATGCTTCTGAGACCGCATTGGGGAAACTTGAGAAGATACAGGCAAGAGCAACCAAAATAATGCCTGGAGCTGTTTCATCTACCAGCAACATTAAAGCAGAACAGGAGCGCGGGCTTCCGACCCATATACAGAGAAGGAAATATATCACACTCAAGTTACAAACAAGACGAGAACCCGAAACATCGGGCAAATCTCCAGAAGGACTTTTAGAAACTGGAAAAACAGGTCAAGACTTAAGAGGTGACAATGAGATCAGGGAAAATATTGCTCTCAAGACCTACACTCATACACCTATACTGCCCTTCAAGAGCCTAACCTGCCCTCTGATATCTCTATTAACACCAAAATAAATCTCGATTCGCTAGAACATTGTACAAAAAAGGAAACTGAAGCTGTTATCAAGGCAAAAGTTACTCGAACAACTGAGCCCTTTTTGGAAGCTCATTAGGCAAAAATTTACACAGATGGTTCATCAGATGGGACTATTCAAAAGGGTAGATGTTGAGATGTGATCAGATGAGACTATTCAACAGTATTCACATCACTCTACCAAATGGGGCATTTACTTCAAAGCCATGGAGCAGGCAGCATTGCTTCCAACTTCACATGTGAATTAAAAGCAGTCCAAGAGACCCTGAGAATTTACATCGACTTAAATGATAATGATAAAGCCAGAGGACTTGTAATTTACTGTGACTCTAAAGTTGCCCTAGAGGCAATACTCAAAGACTCACCTAGGATGTACACCAATTCCTTGAAACAATCAACCAGATGGGAAAGACATGCAGTATGCAATGAATATCTGCAGATGTTGGAATCGATGGAAACGAGGCAGGCCATGAACAGGCTAAAAAGGCAAGAAATCTCAACAACTCAATCCCCGTCACTCTTGAAGATGCTAATGCCATTTTCAGATATAGACTTAAAGATAAATCTATTAAGAAAGACCATTCCTCTTGAGACCCAAGCGCATGTTTGTTATCCGATTTTTACCAAACTTGAGATTAACCGTTCTATTAGGACTACGAAATACCACATATAGTCAGTTTTCAAGAAAATTAAAAACATATATATATATATATATATTGGCGTGTCCATTATAATGGACATTGGATCTCCACCTTGCAAAAATACATTTTACTAATGAACAAGAGATGACATAAATACTTAACTTCAATTAACATAAATACAAGAAGTAGCTTTATTTAAGTGTTAAAAACTGAAATTTATTTTATAGTTTATGAAATATTATCACAATTTTTGAACATATTATTATATGCACTAATGGTTTTAAATGAACTTGGATCATTTAACAAATATTTATTCACAAAATCTATGTATGTACTTCCGCAAAACAATAATTTTGCACTGCTAAACAAAAATACATATTACATTTCATGCACATTACTTTAGTTTTTTTTTGTACATCCTTTATTCTTCCCATCTCACAGAATTATTAATGTCCATCATTTTTGGAAGATGTTTGATTTTTTGTCTTTTACTATCAGAAGTGGACTCCATACTCAAGTCATGTCTTTTACGTTTACGAGTGTCTGTTTCTTCATCACTAGAATCAGTCAATTGAGAGGGTCTCAGCAATTGTTCTGAAATTATAGTTTTAAAGTCTAAACATTGCATGCACTTACCACCTACATTAGATTTTTGATCCTCTCATTAAAATCCATGCATTGACAACAATGAGATCAAAGAAATGAAGGATTGTTTTGACCGTCCATTTCTTTGTGCGTGTCCTAATTCGATAGTAGCTGATCATCCTATCAATCAGATCAATTCCCCCCATGTTAGCATTGCACTCTTTTATTATTACTGGTCTTGGAACTTCAATGTATTTTCTGTCTTTTTTTTTTTACCAATGTTTACATCTATCTTGTGGTTCTACTCCAAGTTTGGACGAGCATAACAATACAGCTTTTATATCATACCATTTTACGATACATATTTCATCATCCTGACGAACTGACATATCAAATGAACCTCTTTCCATTTTTTACATTATCTTATCATTTGTAAGATGAACAGCATTTGGGACTCTTGATTTCATGATAGTGCCCGTACATGCAATATCTCGTTTTCTGAAATCATCTATTAACGGAATAGAAGTAAAATATCTGTCAAAAAAAAGATGTGTTCCTCTAGCTACTATCTCTATCAACCTCATTACAGCTGCACCACCAACACCGAAGCTCTTGGCCCTTTCAGATGAAAATAATGTATTTTTTCCTTGATAAACTTCAAAATCTAACACTAAACCACTTGGTGCTGCCAAAACGAAATTCTTTAGTCCTTCTGGATTTGGCTTCCCTGGTACATATTGTTTTACAGTACAAACACCTGTAAATGGTATCATCTGCTCATCTACAGCAAGATTCTTACTACGAGGAAGTGTAAGGCAACCTTTTCTAACTCGATCCATAATTGGTCTTACTTTCAAGAGCTTATCTTTCTGTTTTTGTTCATCTGTAACTGGAGCATCATCAAGCACTTTCAAATGATTTCTAATCTGAAAATACTTATTTCTAGTTATCGCGTTAGCAATAGCAGGAACACGTGTAGTTTTCTCCTAATACATGCGAACTCTTGGATAACCTAAGCATGACATAAGCAGGGTTGCTCCTAAATATGCTTTCATGTCATTTAAACAAATATTTATAACATTACCTGTTTCTTTATGAAACTTCATCTTCGTGTATTTGCACATTTCCATTAAAAACTTATCATCCCAAAAAAGAGAAACATATTCCTGCGGTGTCCAGTTCTGCCTATCAACTGCTGATTCATTACTATCCCAGGTGATATCTTCAAGACCATTGAATCTGGAATATGCAAAATAAAATAAATAATATAATAGAATATTTAACTACTACAAAAATACTAAATTAATTATAACTATAAATATGACATTATGACTTGTTTGAATTTTTCCCTGTGCTTCTTGCTCACAAGTTTCTTTCGTATCACTATTAGAAGGCTCATCATTCTCACTTGAACTGCTCTCATCTAATATTTCATTAGGTATTAAAATATCATGCTCTTGGAGGTTTTCTTTTTGCTCTTCTTCATCACTAATATCAATGTCGGACACATCACCATTCATTATGGCTTCCAAAATTTTTTCTGCATCTTTTTCAGCATTTAAATACCGCCAATTTCCAAAAATCTCTAATAGAAATAAAACATAAACAAAAGTGTACGACTATGTTCAAAACCACAAATTATTTTTAAATTATTAATATAGAATTTGTATTTAAAATTGAAGTTTTTATTTCTAATCGAATATTAAATAAAAAGTTAAACCAGAAGTAAAATAACAAGTCTTGTTTCCATACACACTTTAAAAATTCATACAACTAACTACTAGTAAAAGATTATTATTAAAACTATAAAATCAATTAATTCAGAAATTTATTGTAACAAAAGAATATAATATGTAAGCGACTTATTATAGAATGTATCTGAATTACTGATATCATAACTGTATGTTCTGCACTTAATTTGGATAATTTAGGCCCATTATCAATAAATTTTATAAAAGCATACACTTTTAAAAATATTTTTATAAATGTTTAATTAGCACAGGAAAGCCTACTAACTAATTTAACCATGAAATTTTAATTTTTGAGCATATTATGACATTATATTAAAATGAAAAATATTTTACTTCCGTATGCCAAAAATTAGTGAGTAGGAATATAATCAACTGACTATGACCCACTGTCCAACAGAATGGACGTAGATGAAAATATAGCTATTGTCTCAATATTATTCATGCAAACCACTGAAGAAGAAACAACTTAAGTTTATCATTTTAATCATTTAAAATCAAATATCAGTTGTTTTAAGTATCAAAAGAAGTTAGCAAAATATGAGAAGAATGGTCTAAAATAATGCACTTACCTTCGACTGTCCTCCTTCTATTGGCGGCCATTTTCAAACGATAATTTAAGAAACATTCCACCGCTTTATAGATATTTCGCTATATAGATGGCAGCACCAGACTGTCCACTATCATGGACTGTGCGACTTTAGGACTTGAAACAGTAATTATTTTTATGACATGCAAAATACAAATGTCCATTAGAATGGACGCTGGGTCTCAGGAGGAATATAGAGATTGATGCAAACAGAGAAATTACAAAGACCATTACTAGATATAGAACCTGTCATTTTAGAGGAATGACAGTTAATGAAGATGGTACCAGATCATGTAAAACTTGTAGATACTGCCCCCCAAACGGAGCTTTCTCCAGAACACATCTTCACCTTTCCGGCAATACTTGCAACTCTGCAATTGTCTGGGGGAATTGCCTTTC